AGCTCAGATTATGTATACATCTCAATTTCGAAAAATTGACCCTTATGACTGGTTTTGTGGTCCAGGGTCACATATAATTATATGTATTTTATAATAATTTTTAAAGATTTTAAATATTCATACAATTTATTTACAACATACATCCTTTTGCTAAATATGTTAAATTAAATTTTATTATATATTTATTTTAATAAGTTACAAATATAGAATCTATTAATATATTAAATAAAATACATATAAAACATAATATATAATATATTCAGTTAAATTAAGTTCTTTGATGTCTTGTCTGTAGGGCTGCAAGTCAAACCCGGTCACCCGACTCTACCGGAGCACGGGATTGGATCAAACATGGGTATACAGGAAGACACACTCTTTAAAGACAGACACGTGACTCATTAAGAGCTGTGGTGATGTAACGCTGTCTCTCTCTCTGTGTCAGATAAACCAGGCATCACGGGCAGCCAGGAGAATCATATTCTGGTGATCGTGGTGATTGTCTCTGTTGGTGTGTTCACCATCATCGCTGTGGTCGTGGGGGCCGTCCTGTGCACGCGCCGCTCCAACTCCCACCAGAAAAAGTGTGTTCTTCACTCTTCAGTCTTCTTTTAAGCTCACGTACACATGTGTATTAAAACAATAAGCAACGGGACATTTGCTTTTTAGGCCTGACATGACACAGCGTGCCTAAAACTGTGGTACAATCACTGCAGCATACTACAACATGAATGAACAGATATTTAAAACTCTAGAAAAAGACTTAGATTTTGTAATCTCACTTAATGCTGCATAACTGCAGTTAATTTCTCAAAATGCTTGATTATTGTCATTGTCACAGACCCCCCCCCTCAAAAAGTACAGAAACTTTGTATTTTAATATTTTAATGTATATATAAAATACAGACTATTTAAATTTTAAATATAGTAAAATGCGGGACTTCAATATTATGTTAATATTTATATAACTATATAGTTAAATGTCTATTTTTAGTATTTTATATTTATAATTTTAATTAGGTAAAATCTAAATTAATTCAATCAATCATACTTAATTGAAACAAAGCAATTTTTGTGCTTTTTTTATATCATGCCTATCTCTAAATAAATTATACTATACTATACTATACTCTCTACTATAAATTTGAATTATAGTAATATATATATTGAGTAACATTTATAATGTATTTACTGTCAGAGTGCCAACACTATCAAACTACCTAACCAAACTTCAGACTACTGACACACTCGTATTCTTGTTTCAGATAGATTTGATATTCGTTTCATGATTTTAAAATAATATATAAAAATTATAAAATATGTATAATTTTATGTAATTCGAATATATTGATTATAATGCAAAGTATATGATATTTGTAAAATATAATAAAAAATAAAGCATTTATTAATATTCAAGTAATAAAAAAAAGATAAATTAATTAAACATTCTATATTTTAGGAAACGTGCGGCCTGTAAGTCCAGCACCGGCTCCCACAAGTACAAGAGCTCATCTAAAGACCTGAAACCTCCTGATCTGTGGATCCATCATGAGCGTGTGGAGCTCAAGCCCATGGACAAATCACCCGAGCCCAACCCGGTCATGACAGAGACGCCCATCCCGCGGATCACCCAGGACCCGGCCGCTGAGCCCAGCCATCGGAGACGGGGTGAGAGCAGAGTGTCTAAACCTAACCCAGCATCCAGGACCGAGTCTGTCTCATAAACGCCTTTCTGCATGTGTGCAGGTCATGAGGGGGAGGAGAGCGTGTCCACTTTGGCCGGTCGGAGGGGAGTGAGACCGAAAATTATGATGCCGTTTGACTCTCAGCCTTCCCAGCGTAAGTTCACAACGAAAAAGCAAGCAAAAATGGCACGTCATTGATTGTCCCATGCCATCTCAGCCTGTCCTGTGCTTTTCACGTTGTGCTGAGTGAAGCGCAGTGCTCGTCTTGTGTCATAGCAGCAAACTAAATCCAAACCTAGTGAGCTTCCATCTTAATGCCAATGCTGTGATTAAAAAATAGGCAGCAGTGTCATGTTGTTTTTTAAAGTGCCCCTATTATGGATTTTTGAAAATGACCTTTCATGCAGTGTGTAACATCTCTAAGTGAATGAAAACATCCTGCAAAGTTTTAAATCTGAAAGTGCACCGTGTATAAAGTCATTGTCTCTCAAAAGAAAGAGTCGACTCTGAATCAATGAAACGAGTCGTTTTTAAAACGAAACCCAAGCCGTTTCATGTTGACATCAACATGAAACATTAGCATATTGCCCGCCCACTTGTTGCGCATGCAGACCCGGGAAAACTTTGTCTGAATGAAAATGCAAATTCATTCTTTGCCACTAGGTGCTGCTTTTGGAGCGGTAATAATAGTGGTTTCCCCGGTAACGCTGTACACAAAGCAGCACTGCTTTATCAGGCGTTACAGGCATGATCCAATCGGACCAATCACAGCAAATTAGCGTCACGCAAAGGAGGGGTTTGGAAAAATGAATCGTTAAGCGAATCGTTTGGGAGTCGTTGTTGAGCAAATAAGGTAAAAATAAATGCACATTATAAGACAATGTAAGTGTTTTTTGACCTTGCATGCATGTCAACCTGTTGTTGGGGACTCCCAAAACCAAAATATGAACCTTTCATAACCCATAGTAGGGACACTTTAAGACGGCATATATTTGCATATTGCATATATCCTTCCTAGTCAAAGCAGCCTCATAATACATTCAGATCCGTTTAAAACGGTGGACGATTTTAGAAAAATTATTATAAGTCTAATGCATTCAATCTAACAGTTCAGTCTAATTTTACTAAATATTTGCATTTGTTTTGTATTTATTATGTTTCATACAGTATCATAGAGCAACATACTGAGAATGTTTTTTAATTTTATTTATATTCTATGTCCTATTTTATATGTGCATATAGATAATTATCGTTAAAACGGTAACAAAATAAAATATTTACCTAAATAAATTTTGCAAATAAAATTTATAAATATAAAAAATATATTATATAAAATGTATTAAAATTATATAACATTTAATAATTTCATATAAAAATATAAATAAATTGAAATACTTTTGTATTATTATTTATACACTATTGAAACCACTGAAAGCTTAAATCAATCATTTAACCTTTTTTTATTCATTATAGTTATTCATTACCAACTGTTATTTTATTTTGGATTTATTGTTTTGTTTTCAGAACTATGATTTGAATGTAGTAAAATCAAAACTATTTATTTATGTGATGCACACAGTTGCTGCCAATGTAGAGCGTTCCAAATCACATACTTAAGGCGTTGCGTATCATCTACAATGCTGCCTAAGTAGGGATGCTGTCTATGCAGGCAGAATACAGCAAAATAGCTCACTAAGTTTGGGAACAGATGTGTTGTGCTGTGTTGTCGTGGTAACCTCACTATGTGTGTGTGTGTGTGTGTGTGTGTGTGTCTCAGCTGTGATTAGCGCTCACCCCATCCATTCCCTCGATCATCTTCATCACCATCATCATCACTATCACCTCCCGCCGCATGGCTACCTTCATCACCAGATCGGCCTGAGAGCGCCTGCCACCCCTAGCACATTCTCAGACAGGCCTCCGTCTGCAGGTGAGAGCGCAGGGATGCTGTCAGACGCTATTTATCATGCGCTATTTACATGGTTCTCCAGGGTACTTCAAAGGATACACATTAAATAAACATATTACTCAGGTTCTTTGGACATGGTACCATGGTTACTGTGAGTAATGTATCTACTTTAGAGAGCTTTGAGAATAGTTATGATCTTAAAATATTAAAAAGGGTGATTCAGTCTGAGCTGCAACTGAGCTGCAGTTCTTGATCTGAGCTGCAACAGAAATCCTATCACAAGTTTTAACCCATCAACTACCATAGGGTCATGTAAATGTAGTAAAATAATATTAAGGTACTATATATTCAAGTGCTGGATAAACAAGTACATCTAAGTTGCTTCAGCCAAGTAATTTTTCATCTTGAAATTTTACTAGCAATATAACATTTATTCTCACAGTAACTTAAGATTTTACACTAAATAACATTTTTAGATGTTTTGATTATGTTAACAATTTAGAGATATTATAAATTTGTGTATCATATAAAGTATTATGAAGACGTCTGAATGAACCTACCGCTAACATGAAGTGACAAATAACAGTTAACTAACATTAGAGTTTATAAATGTAGCAAACAAATGTATTGCCCATTGTTATGTAATGTTAATTAACACACTATATTGCCAAAAGTATTGGGACACCCACTTCTAATAAACAGGTTTGACTATTTTAGTAATTTTCATGAGTACAAATCTTAACGTTAAAGCATAAAATTATATTTTAGGGAATCGTGTGCTTCTAATTTTATAGCAACAGTTTGGACAGGACCCTTTTCTATTCTAACATGACAATGGCTCTGTGCATAAGGCAAGGTTCAAAAAGAAATTATTGATTCAGTCAGTGTGGAAGAACTTTACTGGTCCCAGCTGAACACCTCTGGTGTGAATTAAAATGCAGACCTTGAGCTAAAAACTCATCACCAAACACCAATGACATGTACATATGGGTACAGTCATTTTAGACACTTCCAAAACTGTTGCAACAGAGATGGAAATACAATTTTTAAATACATGAATTATGTTTCCATCTTTGTTGCCACAGTTTTGGAAGTGCCTTTTTCTGTTCTGAAGAAAAGGGTGTCCCAATACTTTTGTCCATATAGTGTGTGTACAAGTCATTGGTGTTTGGTGATGAGTTTTTGGCTAATGTGTACATATATATATATATATATATATATATACACACACACACATTAGAGCTGTGAATCTTTGGGTAAACAGTGAATCACAATTCATAAGGATTCGATTCGATTCGAGAACGATTTTTGCAAATTCAGAACGATTCGATACGATTCACATTTAAATTCGAGCAATTCGATTAATGATTCGATTCTGCATTCTTTAAGTGCATTCACAGGATAATTTAAATGCTTCCCCTAAATTCTTTAAATGCTTGGTCAGGGGGCAAATTACACAGCAGCCTCTATGGGGTCAGAGAGTGAGAGCAAAAAAACACTTTTGTCCATTGTTAGATGTTAGTTTAATGATGCTATGGCATGACATATGGCATATGTAGAAATTTACCCTAGTAAAAATTTTAAATTGCTTACATTTATTTTAAATTGATCTATTAACCTATTTACTGCACTGCTCGAGACTTACTGATATAAAAATTCTAATTAAACTTTATTTGGAGTACTACTTGTGCGCAATGCGCATTACTTAATATTAAGCCTAAAATGTGTTTTTAATGTCACTAATGATGAGGATTGTATGATCTTTGAATAATAAATGTCTTTAAATGCAAGATATTTAAAGTGTACGTTACCTTAAGTATACTTGCAATAGTTCCACATTAGCATAATCAAATATTCTTCAGGTTATCTTTAGTTGGATTTCATCACTACTTCCAATTTAGCACACTTTATACCAGTTTAGTAAAAGTATAATTGCAGGGTATTTGTATTAAGTTCATAGATATGTAAGTTTATTTGTAGTATACTTGGCATTAAATCAATCATTTTATTTCAGATACATTTTAGTATATTTCTTTTTCACTAGGGTATAGCCAAGGTTATAAATAAAGGCTTTAAAAGTATTATTTCATGTTAACTACTGTGTAGCATACTGTGAATGTAGGCTATAGCGTAACATTTGATGTCACACCTTTGCCTGATGAGTTTCTTCATCTTATTTTCATGAAATAAAATGCTACAGTATTTAACCTTTCCTTCGGTGAATGATGATTCTGAAAGAAAATGTGCCCGATGTCTTTTTGCTATAATAACGAACGCAACTTTCAAGCATTTGATTGACAGATAAACCTCGCGCTCTTATTTCAAGATTGTTGTTAATGCTGTGGTTATTTTAACAGTTTCCTTCACACATTCCATTTAACAACATTAAGTTAAAAGGCATTTATCATTCAATGGAACTGTGCGTATGCTTTTAGACACTTACATTGTTTTGGCTCCGTCCATGCAATAACTGATCAGGCAGTCAATCAGAACTACTGTACTCTAGCAGTACAGTCCACGAGTACTAAGGAGGGATCACACATTGGCTGGTCAAAAACCAGTCAGCGAGAGCTACGAACGGAGCGCGAGCGCAATCCTGTGACGTGTGAAGTAGATGTGAGGACACAAACAACGCTGTTCAAGGTCCCCATTCATTTGTGCTTGTGGTAATTTAATATGTGTATATTTTAAATCATTGAATCGCTATAGAAATCGCGATTCATTCGATTCTTAGCATTTTAAATCGATTATTGGCAGAAATAAACGATTCACAATTCAAAAATCCACGTTTCAAGATCGATGCATCGATGATCGAGAAAACGAGCGAATCGTTACACCCCTAATATACATATAAAATTGTATCTCAAAAAAAAAACTTGTGTATATAATATATTAATTTCCGTGTTTTCTGTGTATGTGTGTAGAATCTGTGAGGAATCAGCCCCCTGCACCTGGACCTCCGGTTGCCCCCAGTCAGCCCAGCACTACAGCTGAACTGCAGAAGACAGAGGCGGTGATCAAAGAGGAAGAGCCGCCGAGCATAAACCCACCGACGGCCCACGTTCGGCCCACACACCCGCTCAAGAGCTTCGCTGTGCCAGCCGTCACCGTTTCCGCTCATAACCCGCCCACCTATGAGACCGCATTACCCAGCACCCCTCTGCTGGCACAGCCAGGTCTGTTTTCAAAGCACCACTGTGGTTGATAGTTTCACATGTTGTGGAGCTCATAGCATGTTCGTCTGTGTTTCAGTGCCAGGCGTGAAGATGGCGTCTATCGGGACACTAAATCGAGTTCGAGCTCCGATGGCAGTAACAGTCCCCAGTGCACCTGACCAATCAGAAACCAGCAAGATGCTGGACACGGTGAGTCACTTCCTGTAATGTAGAGGTGGACCGCACTGGCTCACTGTATTTCAGTAAATGCTTCATCATGAAAACATCTCATCTTCTTATCATGAAAACATTCACATCAGTGCTATTTTAGTATTATTTATATGCTATTATAGTTTATAAACATATTTTAAATTAGCTTTTATTTTTTGTATTTTCAGTTTTTGATTTTAATTGCAGGTTCTTTTTTGTAATTTCATTTGTATTTTTTTCCCCGGTTTTTTTTATGTATTACTAATTTGGTTGATTTATTTTTATTTCAGTTTTAGCTTTAGTAAAGTTTTTTCCAGTATATATATATATATATATATATATATTTA